AAGGAAAGAGAGGGAGAGATTTTGTTTTTTTATTTAATTAAATAAATTAAAGAAAAATAATTATAAAATTAATTAAAATTTTATAAATTTAAATTAAGATTAAAGTTAAAATGTAAAATTTAATTACATTTTTTTAAAGTAAAAAAAAAATAAAACGAAAATAAATCCAATACTTCCAAATCCCCCAAGTTAAAGGGATTAAAAATAACAGATTTGGAAGGAGTCTACAGCTCCTCCATCTACCTCCCTCTCATTCCCCTACATTAATAATGTTATCCAAACAATATAAAGAAGAGATATCTCCTTTACTCTCCTCTCCTCCGCCCTCAACTCCTTCAATCTAAATAGAGGCTTAACCTTTTGTTTGGATAAAAATTAGTAAAGGAAAAGAAAGGGAGAGGAGGGGAAGGAAAAATAGGAGAAGTGAAGGGAAGGAAAAGGTAAATATTAGTTTTGTTTGGATAAACAAAAGTATAGGAGAGGAAAGGATAATATTTTTATTTAATTAAACAAATTAAAGAAAAATAATTATAAAATTAATTAAAATTTTATAAATTTATATATTAAGATTGAAATTAAAATGTAAATTTTAATTACATTTTTTAAGTAAAAAAATAAAACAAAAGATCATATCTGTAACACCACCTGTAAAACTATGTAGCAAGCATTTACATCACTATCATAATCTACAACCTTGGACCAGACTAAAACTACTATATAATAATCCGGTTAAAATAACCACTTCTTTGAGAGACGACACAAAGATAACCAAGAAATTATTGAGATCTTTATTAACATGAACGTAGATTTGGCGTTTGGACTTGGAGAGACTGAATTCCAACATAGTATGTATGACATAACTGTTGAGTGTTGGGTATATGTAAAATTTAAAACTGCATGCAAATTCGAAAACCAGTCAATCTAACCTACATATATAGCAGAAGAAAGATATGTATAACATTGACTGAGATCTATTTGAAGAAAAAAATTAACCAATATTATGTTTAGATAAAAATTAGAAAAGGAAAGCAAAGGAAAAGGAGGGGAAGTAAGAAGAGAAAAACCAATCATCTATTGATCTCAATCGAAGGAGTTCGATTCTACTTAAGTAAGTTTTTGAGTTCAAGTATTATGAATAAAAATATATGCACTAAGAAAGTTTTCTCCTTAATGAAATCCAACAAGACTCGATTTTGGATTAGTTAAAATTCAATGTGATTATTAGATACTGAAATATTT